GCACCTGCAAAACCATATTAGTGAAGAAATCTTCTTCACTTGAATCATTTGAGAAAAAACATGCATTGAGCTGCATGCTGTCGTTTTTGTTTTCCATTGTTGCGATTCTGCTTTTTATTTTCTTGACTGGTTGACATGAAGACTTTGGATAAAGATATGGTCAGACCACGTTCTCTCATAGGACAATATATAGGACTTTGGCAAGATATGTTCTGTGTTTTCATGGTGACTTTTTAGGTGTACACATTTGATAAAATTGTTTGCTATGTGGCTATTTATGTCACACCGCATGGTGGGCTCTGTGTTTTGCACTGTTTCCCGCTCCTACTAATAAGTTGTCATATTTACTGATTTGATTTCATCTTTATGTTCAGGTTTGTTTGTCATTATCTCCCCTACTTAAGTTCAGTTCTTTTTGTGTTTAATTGTCAGGTCTCGTCTCTGTATAGCTGTTACTGGATTGCCTTTACCTCTGTTGGAATGACCCTGTTTGGATTTGGATATTAAAGATTGTTTATTGATCATCTTCGTCTTCGTGCGTGTACGCACAGCTTAGTTTGACAATTTAGTTGTAACGACAAAATACTCTAAAATTACGAATTTTAAAACATTTGCTGTAGTCAAGTTAGGGTTGCATACTATGAAAGCATAGTACCTTAATGTACTAAGGTTACTGAACAAAGACTTTCAAATGTAAAAACCAGTTTGACATATTTTAACTATAAAGAACTGGTTCTTTTAGAACGCTGACTCAATTGACTGTTGCTATGGCTCTGTGCACTGTAACATTAGATCAGTGGTTCTCACTTCATGCCCGATCACGTTCATCTTATAAACAGGAAACTGAATCATCTTATTGCATTATTAGTCATTTATTATTCTGCCTTCATGCTTCTCATCTTTCTTTTTATTAATGATGTTTTGTCCCTATGCGTTTGTGAATTTCCTTCTTTTTTTTTTTTTTGCTGAATGGAATTATTGATTGTGAATTTTGAATGAATCACATGTAAAGAAGGTTTCATTAGTAGCACTTTATACCATTATATTAAACCGTGAATAATTTAGTTTATTCCTAAAATTATAAACATCTAATTTCCTTACACAGGATGCCAGCCATGCCACATCAGAGATGCAGAAACTCTCCCTAAACCAAAACGAGAATGCAGAAGCCAGCAAGTTCAAAAAGATGTATGTTTCTTTTTACATTTTTAGCCTCTACATTATTTCCAGATTCACAAGAAAAACAATTATTAAACTCTTGGACTGTTTTCAGTCTATATAAGCATTTGATAATTGTCTCTACAGTTCCCATGATAAGAAGGCGACAGCTCCAGTGAACATGTCCAAACTTTTAAGTTTTGGTTATGCTGACGAAGAGAATAAATCTCTCAATGATGATGATGCTTCAAGTGAGACTTCCTGTTTTTTTATTATAACATCATGAGTGGTTGCAGTACGAGGCAGCTGCAGTGTTGCTTGGTATGAAATTCTTAAAGCATGTCAAATTATTTCTATAATTGTAAAACTAACTTGTTTGCGTTTGATATTTTAGGCATTACCTCTGAGCAGACCAGCCCCATTGCACCAGAGGATGAACTGGAATAAAGATGATGTCGCCCAAAACCCTTCTTCATGAATTGTTGTTCTCTCGTATCCACTAGCTCCTCTGCATAAATCACCCACTCTCTGCTTTATGCAAAAACATTTTTTAGTTATCTGTTTTGCATCTTTATCTAATTTACTTGTTTGTGTTATGCTCACATATCTATGGTGCTTGTGATCAGGATATCTATACCCTTGAAGAAAGGGATATTTGTAAAGTCTAAATGAAAACCAGCTGTTTCTCACCTCACATTGTCAATGGATATGACAAGATATGTAAGCTGCAAACTCTTATTACAAACTCCATGGCTGTTTTATAAAGTAAGTCTCTGGGTTGAACACTTTTAAGTGTTCTTATGGCCCAGTAGTTAGCTAGTTGAGCGCATGATGAGCACACAAGAAGGTTACCTTAAAATAAATGATGCAGATGCCATTGGTAGGGATTTGAGAACAGGAAGAGGTTCAGGGAGTTCGCAATTGTGAATGTCTGTTAGTATTGATGTGATAGTAAATAATAATCACAGATTCAGTTGTTTTGGTGTTCTATGCTGTTTAATTTTAATATTTCTTCCTTCTGAAAACAATGTTTACACTTGCTGACAGTTAATATCTATAAATGATAACAATAAATTGCATGTGCATAAAATACTTTTCTGTTTTAGTCATTTTTTTCAAAGGCAAGTTTCACAGGTTGAATGCATGGTTATCTTTACAGATTTTCAATTGTTTATTCAGTCAATCAAAAATGCATTCTAAAATATATTTCAAACTTAGTTTACAAAATTATCAAAAAGAGGCAAACATTTTAATGCTAAATATAATGAATAGATAATAAGAGGATATAGTCAAAAACAGCAATAGTAATAATATTTCGATGTAATATGATTAATATAAAAAGACATATATTTTTTTGTTTTTAAAAGAAGTCTCACCAAGGTTGCATTTATATGATCAAAAACAGTAATATTGTGAAATATGATTACAATTTGAAACAACCTTTCTGTTTTAATATATTTTGAGATGTAAATTATTCCTGTGATGGCAAAGCTGAATTTTCTCATCTTATTTGTCACATGATCCTAATCCTTGATGTTAAAAAGAACGTCTCAGTTACCTATGTCACCCTCGTTCCCTGAAGGAGGGAACGGAGAC